CAGAATGCATATGTGCATCAGAGAATAGCTCTGTCCCTAAATGTGTAAGTCACATGGTGCCCTTTCCTTCCCTCTCCAGATGCGTGATATTCAGAATGAGCACCTGACCCGCTTCATCGGAGCCTGTATTGACCCCCCCAACATCTGCATCATCACAGAGTACTGCCCTCGGGGTAGCCTGCAGGTAGCCACCCCTCACCACAACTCCACTATAAGATGGAACACTGACCCATTAGAAGTCTATGGGCAACATTTTCCTTGTCTAAACGCGGTGTGTGTGTGTGTGTGTGTGTATGCATATGCGTGCATGTGTGTGTTTCATCCTTCAGGACATCATGGAAAACGAGAGCATCACACTGGATTGGATGTTCAGATACTCTTTAATCAACGACATTGTCAAGGTAACCACTGCTATACACACTCTCCTGGTTATCTTTCCATGTGTCACCTTCAATCGACTTGAGAAAACACATTGGCATCATTCAACAAGTGAATGTCCATATGCTTTGCCAAACATTTTTAGACTAAAGCTCATTATGAATAACTAATTTATCTCTAATCTCTCCTTTTGACTATCCCTCTCTTCTCTTTCTATATTTTACCCTCTATCCCTCCCTCCCCCTCTCCTTACCAGGGCATGGCTTTCCTCCACAACAGTGTCATCGTCTCCCACGGCAACCTGAAGTCGTCCAACTGCGTGGTGGATAACCGCTTTGTGCTGAAGATCACCGACTACGGCCTGTCCAGCTTCCGCACAGAGAGCAACAAAGACGATGCCCATGCTTACTATGCCCGTGAGTCACCTGGCTCTGCAGGAAATTGCCCTTTAGACACAGATCTAGGATCAGCTTAATCTGCTCAAATCCTTACCTTAACCATAAGAGGGTGAAATACGAAACAGTGTCTTTAGGCAACTTAATTCTACTCTTAGTCAATTTGTCCATCTATGTGTGTAGGAAAGCTGTGGATGGCCCCAGAGCTTCTGAGGTTGGAGAGTCCCCCTCCATGTGGCACCCAGAAGGGGGACGTCTATAGCTTTGGCATCATTCTCCAGGAGGTGGCGCTACGCCACGGAGCGTTCTATCTGGAGGGGGAGCCCCTCAGCCCCAAAGGTAACACACACATACACACACACTCTCTCTTTCTACATAACAGACATTTGTGACCGACCGGCTCGATTCGATCCTGTGTAACAAAATTTGACATTTTGTTTTTTACATTGGATAAAAGTAGAGACTCAGAGCTAGAAAAATGTATATAACACACTGCAGTTGAGGAACAATGGGAAAGGTGTACACCAACTAACCAACTAGGTTCAATGTTAGCTAGCTAGCTAACATTAGGCTATAACTAGCAATGCAAATTGATTTTCTGAGATACAAATAATATTACTACACAGATCATGTGGTCCTCTGTAGCTCAGCTGGTAGAGCACGGCGCTTGTAACGCCAAGGTAGTGGGTTCGATCCCCGGGACCACCCATACACAAAAATGTATGCACGCACGACTGTAAGTCGCTTTGGATAAAAGCGTCTGCTAAATGGCATATTATTATTATTATTATTATATACACGTAATGTTAGCTAGTTTCCTGAAACGAGTCACATTTGTGCTCTCATACACTTTTGGTCATAAGCACACTTATTTGCACATAAACACAGATGTATTATAAAAGAAAGCGATAATACCATTGTTGCTGAGCAAATTATACCCCAGATTGTGTCCAAGATAAACAGTGTTTGTTTGATTCTTCCATCAAAAGCAAAACAAATAAACCTAACAAGCCTCCTTCCCGTCAAGGCTCTGTGGTCTTTGCTGACTGAATTATTGCCGAGGAGCAAAGGCAATTAGAGCAACTCAAAACAAAAGCTGTTATTCTTCACATTGCACCCGCAAGTCTGATGACTCAGGAAAAGCTCTGTAGAAAACACAAACCTATCAAAAAACACATAACAGCTCCAGTGACTCAACAAAGCTACAGTATGTCTTTACATTTTACTCCATGTGAACATCTGTATTCTTTATATTTCAAGGTTCCTCCTTGACTCTGCTCACAAAGAAACATGACATCAAATTCAACAAACGAAGTGTAGACCCCCAGATAATGACACAACCCAATGGTCATTTGAGAGCTACTGACCAATATGCCACAATGTTAAAATGGAGACATGTAAAAGTTTTGCAATTGCAACCATTTGGCAACTTAAACTAGGGAAAGTTCATGAATTTGTCAAACACGCTCCCAAAAGTGACAGAGTTGTTGCCTCCTTTTCTATTTTGCACCACACTTACTACCCTTTAGCCTACTGTAAAGATATGGTGGACGAGAGCTAATGTCCCTCTCTGCTTTCTATTAAGGATAGTTAAACGCGCGCAAACACTTGTAGGGACAAACACACACTCAGATGCTTTATTTAACACACACAAATATTCCTTCCACTGTTTTCTGTGTCTCTGGCTTGGAGTAAAGCAACACACTTTTAATAAAACATCAGATTGTAAGTACACAACTGCAACCAAGATATTTCCTTTTCATTTGAGCAGGGGTGTGTGATTCTTTAGAATTGTAGTTAGTTTGGGAACTACAATCTGTCCTATCTTCCTTCTCTAGGAAATTTTAAAAGAAAGAGAAGATGGATTTCTACGGATCAGCAATAACAACTGCTGTTGTGCTCCAAGTCAAGCCTCTTTCACAATGTGTTGAGGAGAAAACCTTGCTGTCACCCATGTCTGCCAACCACCACTGATCAGTGGATTTGTTTTTTTCCTGAACCATAATTGCATGAAAATGTGCAAAATGTTAGAAGATTGAATGTGATTGTGGTCGATTGCAAGAGTAGTGTACTGAGAGAGAAGAAAGTGTTTGTATTTGCTCATCAGAGTGTAACACTTTGTATTGGCAGACAGCAGCTGTTGTGTGACAGAAAGAAAATGAACTGAATTAGAACCAGAGCATGCCATTTATGTCACTGAAACCACTTTATGGTCTTAACTCAATTAGGCTGCATGGACTGATGTTGGGTCTATACGCGTGTGTGTGTGTGTGGTGTGTGTGTGTGTGTGTGTGTGTGCGTGCGTGTGCTTGCATGCTTAATTTTTTTCTGAGTGAGGGCAGAAATAGGGGAAGAGGGTGAGAAATGATAAAAGTGTGAACGAGAGGATAGAATAAAGAAAGATTGTGAAAGCATAGATATGAACACAATGGAAAGGAAATTGGACTGGAATCTCTGAGAAGATGAAAGCGGAAGGAATGACACTAGATAGAAAATATGACATTTCACCATCTATAGGAATGCTTTATACACTGAAAACATTAAGAACTCCTTCCTAATATTGAGCCTCAATTCGTCGGGGCATGGACTCTACAAGGTGTCGAAAGCGTTCCACAGGGATGCTGGCCCATCTTGACTCCAATGCTTCCCACAGTTGTTTCAAGTTAGCTGGATGTCCTTTGAGTGGTGGACCATTCTTGATACACACGGGAAACTGTTGAGCGTGAAAAACCCAGCAGCGTTGCAGTTCTTGACACAAACCGGTGCGCCTGGCACCTACTACCAAACCCTGTTCAAAGGCACTTAAATATTTTGTCTTGCCCATTCACCCTCTGAATGGCACACATACACAATCCATGTCTCAATTGTCTCAATGCTTAAAATCCTTCTTTAACCTGTCTCCTCCCCTTCATCTACACTGATTTTGAAGTGGATTTAACAAGTGACATCAATAAGGGATTCACCTGGTCAGTCTATGTCATGGAAAGAGCATAATGTTTTGTACACTCCCCTTCTTCCTCTAGAAATTATGGACCGGGTGGCTCTGGGTGAGTGGCCGTGCCTGCGGCCTGCAGTCAACCCTCAGATCCACAGCCAGGAGCTGGGCCAACTCATGCAGCGCTGCTGGGCAGAGGAGCCCACCGAGAGGCCCGAGTTCAACCACATTAAACTGCTGCTGCGCAAACAGAACAGGTGGGTGTAGGGGGGTGGAAGTGGGGAGAGTTAGTGAGTGTTCGTTGATGTCATTAATGTCTGTGGGTCTCATTTTACATTTACCTTTTAGTTATTTAGCAGACGCTCCAGAGCGACTTACTGTTAGTGAGTGCATACATTTTTCATACTGGCCCCTCGTGGGAATCGAACCCACAACTCTGGCGTTGCAAGCGCCATGCTCTACCAACTGAGCTACTCCAAAAAAAGAGTATGACTATATCTGTGTGTGTGCGTGTGTGTGTGTGTGTGTGTGTGTAGGGAGTGCAGCACTAACATCCTGGATAACCTGCTGTCCCGTATGGAGCAGTATGCTAACAACCTGGAGGAGCTGGTGGAGGAGAGAACCCAGGCCTACCACGAGGAGAAACGCAAGGCTGAGGCCCTGCTCTACCAGATACTACCACAGTGAGTCAATACTATACACAAACACACACACACACACACAAACACACACACAGTAAGTCAATGCTATACACACACACAAACACACACAGTGCGTAATGTTACCGTCTGTACCTGCAGTTCAGTGGCAGAGCAGCTAAAGAGAGGGGAGACGGTGCAGGCCGAGGCCTTTGATTCAGTCACCATCTACTTCAGTGACATTGTGGGCTTCACAGCCATATCAGCTGAGAGCACACCAATGCAGGTGAGAGAGCACGAGCACATTGTGACAAGTTACAAAGATAGACCTTACAAGGGAGGCCATAGTCAAACCCAACAAT